GGGTGGTGAGCGGGCCGGGGGACGCGCGCCGGGCGGGGAGGCCGACTCGCCGGCCCCGGGCGCAGCCTCCTCTTTCCTGGCATCCCGCCGTCGGCAAACACGGGTGAGATGAGCCCCTCTCCTTGTCTGCCCTCCATTTACTGGTGTCTGTAACGACCGCCGGTCCCGTCCCCACCGGGACGGGCCGGCGCTGGAAGGGCAGGACGGGCGCAGCGGGACGCCTGGCAGGCAACGCTAAGGGGGAAATAACCGGCCCTAAGGGCGGCTGTGCCCGCCAACCCCTTCACGGGCACCGGCCGGCCGGTTCGGCTCCGGCAACGGCGTCCCGGGGACAGAGAGTGGGTTTCGCACCGGCACCCCGAAGTTCGTGCTGCTCTGCCGCTGAGAGACGTGGGGGTTCTCACACGAACTCGCCCCCGGCAACCCCGGGCACGATTCCTCCCCACCGTCTTCTGGCATCTCTGGCTGCTTTACAAAGTACCTCAACATCGGCTTTGCACCCTTTCCCAGTTTCCAGGGAGGGGAGCGAGTTAAACTGTAACAAGATCTAGAAATCTTTGGGAACAACTCCCACCTTTGCTCTCCAAATATATAAATTCGTACACACACACATTTGAAAGCCCGGTAGCTTTTCTGCTTGGGATTCTGCTAAAAGAATTACTTAGCGACGCGTTATGTTAAGTATCGGATTGCCCTGTAACTTGGAGTATTTCCTTTGTGTCTGCTGTATTGTTCCCCGGCTCCTCCGGGGCGCACGGTCCCCCCGCGTTATTCAATAGCCATCCTTCACAAGGAACCTGGGTCCACTACAAGCGCCGGGATTTTCAGCGCCGCCTCTCCCGGGGGATTTTTCCCCAGCGCGGTTGTGCCTCCCTCGGCCGGGAGAGCGAAGGGGAAACGACCGGGGGGACGGCGAGCTGCCGGGGCGGAGGCGGCCCCTGCCCTCCGTCGAGCTTCGGCTCCCTCGTTTAGGCGAGGCCCAGGGTTGGGTGGGGAGGGGGCGACCTGTCAGCCCGTGGGGCAGCGGGGCGAGGGGCGAGGAGCAGAGCCGGCACCTTGCCCTAAGCCCCGGCTGCAGCGGGGGGCGAGGTAGCTCAGCCCCGACGGCACAGAGGCTCCCCCCGCCCCGCCGGGCGGGCCCCGC